CTAAATTGAAAAAGCAGCAGCTGTTTGCAGCTTTTCTGGAGTTTAGAATATTAAAATGAACCTTAAAAAAACCACAGAGGTTATTAAGTATTTGGGGAAAAAAAAAAAGAAACATTCATCATACTGTTCAACACTTTAGCATGATAATCTGAAATCTGGGGTACAGTCACCTTCTCTTCCCTAGCCTGAGATTAGCTACAGACTAGTCAGGCTGCAATTTATTTGGTTTGTTTTTTTTTTAAATGAAGAGATGCAAAAATAAGTAAGTAAAATGTAAGCTCGGCTACATTCATTTCCAGGACAGGACAGTGGTTATATAAATAAGTGCGTAAAATATTTTGCTTTTTCCAAAATTCACCTTCCTCCTAAGCTGTTTGTTCCTTAGGCTAAGAACAAAAGAGATGCTGAGTCTTTGCAGCCTGGAGAACCATTTATGCTCCTCTTCTTTGTAGCAACCTTTTCCATACTTGAAATAATTATCATGACTCCCCTCAATTATTTCTTCTCTACATTAAACAAACCCGTATCTTTTGATCTTTCCTCCTTATTCATGCCAGGACAGCTTTTATGCAAAGGTGCAAACCACTGCATACATTAAACATGTATTGCAAGCTCTAGGCTTTCCAGGGGCATTAACTTGAGGGGGTAATACCTGGGACAGATTCCACAGAGCGGCTCATTTTAGCTGTTCCCATAAGACTCCATATGACGTGAAATGTGCTTGATTTCATCTGATCTGTTTCTACCACAGAACAGATTAAAGGAAAAAACGCGAAATACCACAGGCAAGGTGTATGAGAAAAAAAATAAAGTTAGAGATGTAGACTCCCTTTGTATCATAACATTTCTTCTGAAATAGTTAAATGTTAATTGCAGAGTCCTCATTAAAACAAATCTCACAGGACAATGTTGTCACCATAGCATGTCTTCCCAGAATTAAGGAGCCTGGGATCCATCAAAAGCAGCATCACTTCATGCTTTATGTCCAACACATCCACCCCACCTTCCCAAGTAGGCACTTAAAACTAGGTCTTACTGTGAAGAGCTTCAATACACCAGACACAAGCCCCTGGCACAGCAGCTTCCTCACTGCCTCAAGGCTGATACTTGGATAAGAGAGGAGTGCGTTTGGCAGGGGAGAGGATTGGCACATAAAAACCAGCGCGTGACTGAGCAAGGGCGGGGGAGTCTGCACAGGAAAGTTTAATATTAAGAGGCACGGAAGCCTGTGAAGTCTGGGAAGCCACATGAAAAGCAGGTACCTGTCCAGGCATGAGGGCTATCAGAGAAAGGATGGGAGGCACAGCACCATAATTACGCATCATCTTGTGACTGGTGCAAATGCTGCCAGGAGCCAGCACGCTGCAGTACCGAGCTGATTGCTCTCTCAAGACAAGTTGCAGAGTGCTGAGCGCCCAGAGCTGCCAAGGGAAAGCAGGTGAATCAGCAAGGGGCATGTCAGTCCCCAAGCACTGGTGTGGTGCAGAATTATGTCAGCATCAAGGTGATGCACTGAGACAAAAGCAGAGAGACACTCCTTTGTTTACAAACACACCAGAGACAACCAGGTTACTGTGGAAAGTCATTTTATTTCAGAATTTCACGCACTCTGTCACAGACCATGCACTTAGACTTTCCCCATTGCAAATCCACAGCCTCCAGGCCTGGGAGAGATGGGGCATCATCTCGTCTCACTGCGAGTACCCACATGCTAAGAGTGAGGGCCGTGATGGCAGCTCACCAGGAGGCAGAAAGCCGCCTCTTGTTTCCATAATTGCTTTTAAACATGGGAAAAGAAATCCATCTGACTTGAAGGATTAGTGGTGCAGCTCAGTGAAACCGCACAGCTGAGCAAGTTGGTCCTCATCCCATGGTTACAGGGAACAAGATGACGATCTCATGGGAAGCTTGTGTGAACTACGCTATAGCAGAACACACCGAGGCATTCTTGGAGCCCAGGCAGCAACCAACCCAACACATGCTCTGGGATTCTTACAATCAATTTGTCTCCAAGCCGCTCTGCCAGGAAGGTGGCCGAGAGCTGCCCTTTTCACATTCAGTTTTAGGTCTTCCTGCTCTGTGCTACAGCTTTGACTAGGAAGGAGCCTACCTATAGGTAAGTCAGCCCTCCAGGCTGTATGTCCATACGTGTACTGCATTAAATACTGAAAGGTGCCAGTTTAAAAGACTCTGCAACATTCTGACACACAGGCTGGGTACAGCATTAGTGTAAGTTTCCTGCATACTTGCCCTACTCCTTCTTCCCTGCCTCTGTTGCCCTTATGCCTGACCATGCTCTTGAAACACTCCTAGTTGCAGTGTCCCTGTGACCCATTACATCTTTGGCCTTTGCTGAGACTGCCATTGCCAGGGCAGCTATTGCCTGCTGTGGTGGCTGCCTGTAGGAAGTGAGCATTTGCCTCCCAAGAACAGGCTTGTGGCTAGCTCAGAGGAGGGCAAAACTGAAGAAATGATGGAAGTGATCCAAGTGAAGAGGAGCAAAGTCTACAGAAAAGGCAAAAAGGCAGCTTCAGTCTCCATTCGATACACAAATTGAGCTCAATAGCAGCAAGAAATGGCCATAAAATATTAATTCATTAGGTTGCCAGGAAGAAGTAAAAGCATTCCTGTGAAAAATTCTATATACAGATATGTATATGGCAACTGTTCTCAAGCCAGCTTGGACAGTGGCTTCCTCCTTTTTATGTCTCACCTTTTTTGTATCTATACTTTTGATCATTCCAAACCATGTTGCTGCTCAATTCTGTGTAAAGACCATGGTATTGGAGTCAGCACCAAGGGAGGGGTGAGATCACACTGAAGAAATGAACTTATGGGGAACTCCTGACAACCCAGATATTTTAATATTTTTGTTGACCTTCAAGTAATTAAAAGGGGAATTTCCCACAATAGCCTACAGGCTCCAAGTCTCATCTGTCTGCTTTTAGGGTAGGAAGGCTGACATCAGAAAGGCAGTGGAGGGCAGGGAAGGGAAGAGGGGAAAAAATCTGGGAACCAGAGTGAAGAGCAATCAACAGCTGACCAACACTGACTGCTGCAAAATTTACAAAACACAAAATCATACAAATGTAGTTTCTGTTAACCTTTTATAGACTACGGACTTTATATATACACACGAACTTCAAAGTACACATCTGGCAGTCTAGAAAACACCAGTGCCCTAAGGATTAAATAATTTAAAATGCAATGTTGTGTTATCACTGTATATGGAATACCATCTGACACATTGGCTAAAATGGACGGATTGTCCAAGAAAGATGCTCCCTCCCTCATCTCACCAGCACTGCCTTTAAAAAGAAAATAAGGGCGAAAGACTCCTCTCCATGGTTCCACTCACCTTGAAACTTCTCTGTCAAAGAGGCAGAAAGTCCTGAGAGAAAGGAAGGAGAAAAGGATTCCTGCTCCCTCCAAACTCTGCTGCTGCAGTACCCCTCTCCATTGGCTAGGGAGGCTGGACAGCAAGGGGAAAAAAGGTGCTAAAGCTGGGAAAAGGCAAGTATGTTTCTGTAATGATAGCTGCACTGGTCTTTTGAGAGAGATACAGCCCCAGACCCGGGAGGACACCCTCCCTCCCCCTTTTTGAAGGCAGGAGGCCAGAAGGCTTAATGCAGAGTATACAGAGTCTACATGGCTAGTTTAGGAGATACCAACAGTGCAGCAGCTGCCCCCCGAAACCCATACCACAGTCCAGCAGCAGATGGGAGGGCAGCCAAGGGAGAACGGCCTGACAGCAGCCGTAAACAGGAGTGAGCAGAACTGCATTACCAACAGGTCCAAACAGACAGAATGGGAAGGTATGCCCTCACCAGCTTTCTAAGAGTAATTGTAAACTGGGAATGCTGGAAAGTCAGCGCATGGGAATGAGGAAGGGGACAGACAGCCTCAGTTCTGAGGTGGCTGGGGAGGGGACTAAAATACACACTGAGAGCAGAGGGCAAAGCCAACATACCTCTAAATGCCAGCTCTGCATATGTCCCCTAATACCAGCGTATGGGACAGAACCTTGCTGATGATACCAGTTCAGCCCTATCACCTTCACAGACTGATAGCTGGTGAGAATCTGGCTTAGGTGTGCTTGTCATAAAGCCCTTTAAGGCATGCAGTCTTGCTTCACCTCCTATAAACCAGAACAGCCATAAGCTCTTGGGGAAGAGATGGGGAGAAAAAAAAAAAAAAAAAGGCCTGTTCCCATGTATGTCTCCCACCCCTCCCCCATAATCAGCCTCTCTTCCTCTAGGCCAGAGACATCTAAGGACCTGCCCTGTCCTCCATTCCCAGGGCCATTCCCACCAGCAACACCCAGCAGATCTGGCTAGGCAGGAATGGCAAGCCCTGCTCCTTCGGCCTCATCACATAGCCAGACCACAAAGGTTTCCTCCTCCCCTACGACAGCTTCTGTGAGAATTGCCCATACTGGAGGTTGTGTTGCAGCAGACTGGACAAGCCTCAGCCCCTACTCCTGAACCCAGCTTGCACAGGATGAGAAGGCTCCATAGGAGCAGGAGTCATGGGCATAGGCGTTCTCCTATTCTAAGCTCTACAGCCCTGAATACTGACAGTGTAATCATTATACACTCAGAAATACAAAAAACAACCCTTTCCAAAACATCTCACTCACTCTGCCCTGCACAACAGAGTCAAAAGGACCGGGAGATGGGGGGTTGGCAGGTGGCGAGGAAAGTGAGACAGTGTGGTACAGCAGAGAAAAAGAAATATGAGGCAAAGTCAGACTGGAGGAAAGGAAAGGACCTCAATGCAAGTTTGCTAAAATCATAACTGGATTTACCAGCCCAGTTCCACCTCTTCAGACCAAAATGGACTTGCTGCAGTAAGCGTACTAGAGGAGAAAGAAGAGCATAGTTTGGTTTATTTTTTTTGGTAGACACTTAAACATTAGCAGAATTTATGCAAAGATCTTAGAGCTGCAGTTTTAGCCTCTTTTCCCTAGCCACTGGGTACCTGTTGAGGCAGAGATGGTGGAAATGGACCAGTAGCACCAAAAATTCAGTGGGAGCACCAGCTCCACAGCAGGAAGTAACAATCAACCAAAAGGAGACAGAGAGAGAGAAGTGGAGGAGACATAATCAAAGTCCACCTTGGCTAAACCTTATCAACACCTCCCTAGGTAAGGCCCCATTATGTCTGCAGCAAAACCTCTGGCTCTGACAGAGAGCTGTAGAGGGTATAGCCCAACTCATCCACTTCTTCAGGGGTGAGCTCTGAAAACAAGTTCACCTTGGGGTTCAAAGCACTAGGGAGGACACCTGCCTCCAAGTAGCGGATCAACCCCTTCAGCGCCTGCAAGAAGCGATCAGCCAGCATGTCCTGGGACCAGTTGGACTCCTCTTGGGATAGGTGCAGGATGACATTGGTGAGCTGGCTGGCAGTGAGGTGACCCAGGGCTGGGTTTGACTTGCATACTGCTTTGAAGATCTTCAGGCACAAGCAACGGCAGCCAGAATCACACTGGTCCAGGGCCCGGAGGCGAGCCGTTTCTGCTGGCCGCAGGCTCAGTCGCCACAAATTGTCATTTTGGGCCAATCGATGGGGTTTGGCCACAAGGATGATGTCACCCAGTGTCAGGGATGGTAGGAAGTCAATAAAAAGATGCCGTTCTGGATCATACTGGACTTCCAGTGTCAGATCTGCCGGGGGAGCTGCTGGACGGATCACATAATCCAAGAGAGTCCCAATTGCTGGCCAGTTGATGGAGCCAGCTACAACTTTCTCAAAGGCGTCTGCTACAGCTTTGGGGGAGAGGTAACCTCCCACCACACAGCGGTCCCAGTAGCTGCTCCCACGGGGAAAGTACTCTGGGTTTTCCCGACGCACCAAGTAGAAGCCAGGAATGTTCATGATAGTGTCCTCCCCAGGGATGCATGACCACAGGTTCTGCTCCAGCATCAGAGGCACAATGAGCTGGATGTGGTCAGCAGTCACTACCTTTCACAAGGGAGAAAAGTCAGTAAGAACAAGCTTTCGCACTCCACACTCAGTTTTATTCACCACCTTTAGTCAGCTTTCTGTTCAAAGGAACTTGGAATACGGATTCAGCTGTCTCACTCTCCTCTCTGCGTGTGACTCACAGCCTCCCTTTGTCAAAACATTCTGAAGGACTATTTCCCATCATCAGTGGGATAACTCCAAGGTATAACCTAAGCTAGTGCTTATACGGTATGTACTATTTAGACATCTTTAAATACTGACATGGACTGCATATAGACAAATCATTTTGCCTCCTGTTGCTCTAAGTCCACTCCTTGGATGTGAGATGCAGCTGGCCCAGGGCACAGCAACACCACATGATCATTTAAAACAGGAGACAGAGTATTAAGTTTCTAGACAAGCTTAAGTTGCCATGTTTTAATTATCCCATGCTACTAGGTACTGCTCTCAACAAGTCTGCCACATTGTTTGGAAAAAGGTCATTAAAGATCCCTTTTTACCAATGTGATTAAGACCCCAGATCTAAGTTTCACTGGATGCTCAACACTCCATTCCAGAGCTGTGACTCAAACAAAAAGTGTGCCTCTGAATCACTCACTATAGCCATGGGCATCTTGCCATCAGGGAGATACGCAGCAGGGACTGCTGTCCAATCTAGGTCTCTCATGCATTATAAAAAAAAAAAAAGAGTAGGGAAGACCTACATGAATACACAGGAGTTCCAAGGGAATATTGTGTATTTGGAAGGAGATACAAGGGACAGAGCGAAAACAGAAGTCTACCAGAGAAACAGCAAGAAGAACACAGCTAAAGGGAGAGACAGAGGGGAAGGAAAGAAGGGCTGAGAGAATCTGGAGAAACAGCAAAAAGTAAATGCTTTGCAGACAATGCCAGAGCAGCCTGGTCACACTTGTTAAAACAGGACTGCAGAAATCAACGCCTGACTCCACGGTGGGAAAGGTGACACCAGGAGCCTTATTACAGAGGAATGTTGTGCTGAGCCAGCACTGCCAACAGGGAAGCCTGAAATGCCCCTGCCTAGTCAGCCTTCTGAATAATGACCCATCATGCAGCCCCAGGAATTACCTGCAGATCATCATACAGGCTGCCGCTGAGGTACATGTCACGCAAGGGCATGTCCGGCAGCTTGGCACGTAGGAAGCTGCGCAGCTCGGCACAGATATCCACGGCGGCTTGCTTGGCCCGGGCCTGCTCATCCGCTGGGATAGCTACCTTCCTCCGATAATAAGCGAAGAGCTTTTCTTGCAGAGACAGACGAAGGCGGGATTTTTTCAGCTCCACTTGACTCCTCTTGGCAGATGGCTTGGGCTTTGTGGGTCGGAAAAAGTCTGCAAGACAGAATGATAGTCTGCAGTACTTCACTGTGAAGCAATCCACAGAAGAAAATCTGCAGCGCAAGTGCAGCCTCCCAGGTCTCAAAAAGCTTTCAGCAGACATTCTGCATGCTTTATACAGGTACCAGTCAAAAGGGATGTGCTGAGAAACTTCAAAGGATACCACTATGACCATCAAACTGGATGAAAGCAAGTTACTAGATTTGGAATTTAGCCAGAACAAGACTAACATTGTGTACAAGGAAGTAATTTTAATGGCTACGTGGGCAGTAGCTCAGTTCAATTTAATCAAAAACTCAACACTGTTACCAGTTCAGATGCCTTCAACACGATGCCAGACCAGCGGATAAAACACTCTTGAACAACCATCATGATCTCATTAAGTTTTTAACATTATAATGGATTTTTACAAATTAGCAGCAAAACCCAGTCCTGACTAGGGCATGAGATCAGAGATCACGCCACCTGGAAATGAAATAGTTGTTAGGAAGTCTGATCAACACTTACCAGGACAGTAAGACCTTGGGGCCAGCAAAGCTCAGGCAATCATAGCCCCAATGAAAACCTCCCTCAAACTTTCACTGGCCGAAAAACAGAGAACACACTCTTAGGCACAGTACATCAGCACAATGCTTTACACTGCCATCTGTGTTATTAAGCAATGTCTAAGCTGCACAGATTTTCTAAGGCCCTTTTATTCTGACTGGTTTCCTGAAGAAGGAAGTCAACATTTCCCATCTATCTTTTAAACTTCTCTTAATATGGACCAAGAGTTTCAGAAGTTATCAATGATAATTAAGGAAGAACTACAGATCTAAGAGATCTTTGGAAAGGCTGTGGTACTTCACAGGTGCAGGAGAAACCCCCAAGTCAGTGGCCCAATTAAGGCAATCAGCTATTGCACATTTGTTTGGCCACAGGCATTTGGCCACGCACAACATGCGGAGTGGCTGCACACAGACCCATCTCACTCAACATCAGCAGCTGCTGTCTCTTGTCCACTGGGGTCTTTTGGACAGATTTGAGGTTTTGCATGAAAAGGAAATAGCCCCTAAAACAATAGGGAACCAGACTTCATTGCCTATTCATGAAAAAACTTAGTTTTCCATCTTAAGTTTTAATTCATTTTTAAGCCAAAAATGCAAGATGCCATCATCAATGGTTTTATTCCTCAATCCTCATCTTTGGGGACTCCAATCAAATGATCTAGACCCCATTTAACACAGCTGACTAGTTATTTAACATTTCCTCAGCAGAAAGCCATTGCCATCCTGAAGCTGACTTTATTTCCAGACTCTCTGCAAGCAAATTAAAAGCTTGATCCTGTTTTTTTATTTTAAATCTCCAAGTGTAAATCTCTTGAAGTGACCAAGGGTAGAAAGTAAAACCGGTGAGAAAAAACAACCAAACACATATAATGAACACTGAGGAACTCTAAATTACTTATTATACCACTCAGAAAGAAAACTGCAGGTCACTTTTTAGCCTGATGAAGACTGAGTGATAAGCAGCACTAAACAGGCAAACAGCGTTACAGAAATGGTTAGGAAAATGGTAGAAATAATATAGGTAATACTGTTATAAATTGCTAGTACATTCACAATTTGAATATTCCCCTCTTAAAAAAAGACAGAAACAGGAATGGTCCAAAGAAAGGCAACAAAGAACTTGAAAGGAATGGAATGGCTTTTGATCAGGAAAGATTGCACAGGTAAGTATTCAGCTTGAAAGAGAAAAGACTGAGGGGGAATAAAGCTTAAGACCAGGAAGTCAGGAGAAGAATGAAAAATGCAAATAGATGACTATTATTCACTTGTTCCCAATCTGACTTTTAATTCTTGAAGTTACCAGTAGACCTGCTTAAAAGAAAAACATCAAAATCCTGAGCCAGACAGAGTATTCTCTTTCCTGTGTTCCCTTAAATGAATACAGGGTTTATGGGCCTGGATGATTCTGCAATGCAGGAGTATCACCCTGCTCCTTACCTGTGTCTGCGGCCGAAGGATCAGTGGGAAGGGTCTGCAGGGAGCGGCTGAGGTTAGTCTTCATGTCCTGGGTCAGTAAGCGTGAGGAGGAACCCAGCCAGTTTGGCTCTTCCCAGCTTCTCTTTCCTGACTGGCTCAAGCGAGTGGGGCTGCTGGGAGCACTGATTGCCCGGTCATACATCTAAAGCAACACCACCAGGCACAGTTTGAGTCATTAAGCCCAATGTTTGCATTTTACCCAGCCTATGGCCAGCATCCCAGGCCTTTTTGTTTCCCACTCCTTCTTCCCAGTGCCCTGGTGCTGAGGTCCCACCCTGCTGTCCCGCATACTCACCCGTTTGACAGCCAGCGTGGCGATGCCCAGCATAGCTGCTCCACCCACACCCAGCACAAGTCGCGCATTGGACAGCACGAAATCGATGGCTGTGCCGATGCCGTTGTCATCTTTTTTCCCTTTGCGCTGCCCAGTGCCTGCCATCTCACCTGGAAGGAGCAGAAGCATTAAACAAACAGGTCAAAATATGCAACCCTAATGGTTCTCTTCCTTTTCCTCCACCCCACACTCATGGCTTTTGGGGTCTTAGCACGGACCCATAGCAAGGGACCACCTAACCCTGCAGCCTCTAATTATCTTCCCTCAAGGAGCTGCTTATTCCCAGACACACCAGAACAGTACTGACCAAGCTCTGCAATGACAGCATTTCTCTGCTTCCAGCTCCATTTATGACCTGAAGAAAAACATCCCGAATTTGACGTGGGGCTTCTAATCATTGAAGCAGGTTTAATTGTACAATCACCTAATGCTTTTTAAAAAAGAAAGTAAGATTCACTTCAACAATATTTTCCAGTAAAATGCTTTATATTACGTAAAACTCTTTGGCCATTCAGGTCTTTTCCTTTTAATTTGTGCTTCTCAACAAAAGCATTGCTTTTTTATGCCAATTTATTTTCTCAATCTAATGCGTGTAATTTTGCTTACAGACAAGGTAACGTAGGGATAGTCAACTGCTTGTCCATAACAAATCAGAATCTTCCCAAGAGTTAACAGGCCGTCTCAGAGCATCCAGTTCCAGACTATTTTTGAACAATGGCTGGTCCCAGATACTTCAAAGACACCCAAGAATCAACAGTAGAGACCACAATACACCACAAAGGGAGCAGCTCCCTTGCATTCACTGGACATTTATTCCTGCCCTTAAGACCATCGGATTTGACTCTCATAGAAGTCATGTGTAACATGAACATTAATAATGTACTTTTGCTTTCTCCAATTCCAATTTAACCTGATCTTGATATATAAATTTAAAGACTCTCCTTGGACAACTACACATGTAAAATAGACTTTGCCACCACCATACCCGTAGATAGATCTTCAGTGAACCTACATGAAAACAGCAGGAAACTCTTCCAACCTAACTCAAGATCTGTTTTCTAAGTCAGGTTCAAAGCCTGCCTGATTTGGGTGGTTTAAAACTGCCCTTAGGTTTTTCTAAGGCCCAGTTACAATCTCAGGAAGAATGTTCCTGCCTTAATGACTCAGAAATCACTAAACACACTTCCACAAAGCTACCTGTAACAGTAGCATGAAACACATTGTTATATCTTTGTAAATGACGTACCTGTGACCTAATGCATTTGTAAAGAGAACAGGACAGCCCTCCTGGGGTGCCTGTAGCAGCACTTTCCAGATTTCTTCACAACAGTGGTGGGCAAGGAGCGTTAATCATCTCTTTTCATTGGCGAGGGAATTTCAGAAAGAAGAGGGAAGTGGGGCCAAAAGGAGCTACAGGGACTCTCTAAACCAGGCCCCCGAGTTTGCTCTGCAGGAAAGCTTGCCCCTTCTCCAACTGTCTTTCCTTGTCCTCTACCCGTTGCAGTCCCCGGTTCTTGCGGAACTCGCGGCGGATGAAAGCGAGGTAGAAATCCCGGTCAGTGTAGCGCAGTCCACGGCCCTGGCGCAGCAGAGCCCGATAGAGGGTCAGAACAGCCTCCCGGGACCACGCTGCCATGGGGGACAGATGTGCGGACAGGCGACCTAGAGAAAGGTGACAAAGTGCGGGACCTGAGTCAGCTTTTCCCTCCTCGAGGGACGCACCGGCCGCCGCCTCCGCCTCC